TTCTCCCCCCGGCTTGATGGAAGGCGACGGTGGACGGGACAACGCATCAGCGACGACGTTCTGGGAGCCCGGACGATGGTGGAGCTTGAAGTCAAAGGAAGCGAAAAAGTCCAGCCAACGCGCGATTCTCCCAGAAACGCGAGGGTGCTGCAGGAACCATTTGCAAGCGGAATTATCAGTGATGACGTCGAAGTGAGTCCCATGCAAGTAGTGCCTCCACCGCGCCAATGCCTGCTTGATCGCAAACAGCTCCTTCTCGTGGACTGGCCAGTTGAGCTCATGGACTCCGAGCTTCTTGCTGAAGAAGGCCACTGGGAGATCATGCCCGTCGTGTATCTGGGATAATACGCCACCAATACAATCATGACTGGCATCCGTTGTAACAAGAAACGGCTTCTTGAAGTCCGGCATCCGAAGGACAGGAGCGTTCTGGAGGGCGAGCTTAATCGTATAAAAGGCTCGACGTTGAGGTTCCAGCCACGTCCACTCGGCAGTCTTCCGGACAAGACCACTCAACGGCAACACGAGCTTAGCAAAGTTTTCGATGAAGCGTCGGTAATACCCAGCTAGACCCAGAAAGCGCTGTAGGTCCTTGACAGTAGAAGGCTCGGGCCACTCGGCAATCGCCCGTGTCTTCCGTGCGTCGACGTGTAGTCCCACATCCGAAATGGTGTGACCAAGAAAGTCGACCGAGGTCTGCCCGAACTCACACTTGTCCGGCCGTGCATACAGCTTGTGCTCACGCAACACCTCGCACACGCATCGTAGATGCTCGGTGTGATCATCCATCGAACGCGAGAAGATGCAGATGTCGTCCAGGTACACGACGACAAACGGTAAGTGACTCAGGATCTTCCGCATGAGACGGGTCCATGTGCCTGGCATACCAGCCAAGCCCATCGGAGCAACGTTCCAGTGATAGATCTCGTGATTCGTACGGAAGGCTGTGAATTGCTTCGACGTCGGAGCCATTCGCATCTGGTGATACCCACTAGCTAAATCCAGAAGTGTGAAGACTACAGCGCCTTCCATCCGATCAAATAACTCTTCAATGTGTGGCAACGGAATCTTAGCCACATCAGACGCAGCGTTGACCAGGCGGTAGTCGATAACCCATCGTATCGGCATGTGCGGATCGTTGGAGTACAGCCATTCCAGACGGGAGGGAAACTTTCCAGTAGCGGGGTCTTTCTTAGGCACTCCGAATATGTTCGACACCCAAGGCGAATCTGACACCTCAATCCAGTTTTTC